TAGCTATCCTACGGTATTGCCAAATGTCTATGCCGGAATACTACTATAAAAAGAAGAAAGAGTTGAGCAGCTACCCCTCCTTGATATGTTTGTCATACGAAGCCCCAACGGCGAAATATAAACAAGTGCCTACAGAAAGACGACGAACGCAACGCAGCTCCTTACAGGAATCATCCGATGGCTCACAAACGACGCTCTGTGGTTCAAACGAATCCAGACTTGCTGTAGCAATCCGGAAGCAAAAAAATCTAATAGTTGTTTGCATTCGCTGCCAGCGTGTGCAGTTTTTATCGTCGTACTTTTTGATGCCTGTTAGTGCGGCAATGCGCCAGAATGAAATCCTCATCATCAGACTTGGCCTCACATCACCGATATTTCATCTTTGCCTCAAAAGATGACAGCAGCAGAAGGCGCAGGATTGTGTGGCCCTCATAGAAACAAGTGTGGTACCTGTAATGACGCCGACTTTACTCCACGCTTCAGATAGGATGACGGGGCAATGTGAGTGACAAACGTAGACGGGCGCTTGACGTTCTCAGTCACAGCGTTCAATCAAACCATCAGCTGGAGGCTAGTCCCAGGGCAAATCAGCTGAGTTCCCACTACCATATACATGACGTTTTACAAACATTCAAAGCACGCTCAGATCTCCAACTGAGGGGATGATTCGGCCACCACCGTGACTGGAGGACTGAGAGTCATGCTGCAACGGTTCCTTCTCAGTGTAGCCTCAATGTAGCATTCTCACCTATGTGAAATCCCTCTGCATGGGTGATACATGGCCATACGCCCAGACATTTGCCGCTCCTTTAATTCCCGCACCGCATTCGTCTTTGACGATTGTATCTCTAGTCAGAAGATCTAAATAGTCGATCGGGGTATTGCCAGCTTCGGCCTCTGCTCCCCGGTACAGGTGGTTCGATACGTGAAGGGAAAATCTGCCGGGATAGTGTTGAGAATGCTCTCATTCCTACGATCAGTCATCGCAGAGAAGAGCACGTGCGCACATTCCCGCGCTGCATGCCATGTACTAAATGCGTGCTACAGCATTCTGCATTGGCTGTGGCCAAAGAACTCTCCTCAGATTTATGTCTGCGAGAATTCAATCAGCTGACTGGACAGAATACAGCCACCCTGAGTGGGATGCCATAACTGCAAGCGTCTCAAGAGAGAGACTTGCATGTTTTGAATACATTTTCCTCGTGGCCGATCTTACCCTCTCGCTCTCCGTCTCTGTCGTGTTAAGGCAACAGTCCAGCACGCCTACGCTTCAAGTGAATATAAAGTACCCGACATAACACGTGAATACGGGCTCACGAAGCAACGACGTGGTCGACTGATGAAGAAGAGGGCTGGTGCTCCAATCGGCACATCTTAGCTCATCAATCTGCCACTAACCAAATGACGACTAGTCGTTATGAAATGAACTCCTAGCATAAA